TGGTATACAATCTTGAAATCTAAAACTTCCTTCATGGCCCCTTTGGAAAACTGAAAAACGAGGTAGCTTTCTATTTCTTTATAATAAATAACCAACGTAATACAGGACGGTATGGGTCCCATCCAAATAATAAATGAAAAAGTCACCTACCTTATGCACAAAATTACGAGACTTGAATTATTGATTTTGCGGACAAACGCGGTGTAATATGTAAGTGCTAATTCGTAAATAAAAGACAATGTTATTTTAAATTGTTTGTGTTTACCTAAGAAGTAATTATTATTACTATGTAGGTTAAGAATATAGTAGAAACTGTATATTTGTGTGTTGGAAATAGACACATTAGTTCTGATGTGAAAATGGACGTATTTACTTTTACATACATAGGATACTACTATATAAAAACGTACAAATTATAATAAACAGAGGATTTACTATTCAAACATAGCGAAGTCCTCTAATCTCTCAAGCAAAGTTTGAGATTTTTATTGCTCATATTTTATTCGTTTTTAACAAGTAGTTTTGTTTCTTTCACAGCATCGCATTCAGCGAGGAATTGCCAGTATTACTCTGGCTTCGGGGACAACTCGATTGCTTTTTGTTTTCGCGTTTATTTCTTTCTTCATAATTGAATTCATATATAATAGAAAACTAACTTTTACTACATGCTTGTTTAAATTTAATATTGTATTTAAACCTTGTTTTCAATAAAGCATTATAATAATTGAAAAAACAAGCATGCATTCTTATCTGCGTTCTGCAGCATATGTGTTAAGTCATGCAGTCGCTTTATGAATTGATATCGTTAACAAAAGAGTATAAAATTAAAGAGACTATACAGCTTGCCAACCAGTGGACTGTCAAATGTGTGCGTGATATCATGTGATATTATTCTAGTGAGCTGTTGGTGTATTGCGCACCTTCAGCTATTAACATTTAGAACGACCACGTGAGCCGTGTCAGCAGTTGATCAATGTTTAAATAATATGTGTATATTTAAAATTACTCTTCAGCTGTTAAGATTTGGAACACACGTGAGCCATATCAGCAGTTGGTCATGAAATTTGAACAGAGACAATAACGTTTTTATTACAGATTAATTCTTCAATTTCTATCACTTTCTGAGTATTATATAGACTACCAAAACGATACATATGTTTACTATAATTATTTTACAATTCGATTCAATTGTTTGTGCTATTCTAAATTTTTTCCTGTTAAAAGTGTCTTCATGATCCTAACTCCAGGATTGTCTGCAAGTGGTTGACACATATCTGTATTGTTGCAGGGTCCGAGTGGAGTACTACGTCAACGAGAACACGTTCAAAGAAAGACTGCAACTATACTTTATAAAGAACCAACGCTCGAGTGAGTTATTCAGAGTACTATTAGGACCATTGTAATGCGTTTCATATGTTTGAACACAATCCGGCTTCGTAAACGTACTTTAAGCCTTTATTTAAGGAATTATTTCAATTGTTTATTCAAAGTGATACGAATGAGATTACCTAACACTTTACGTTGTATAAAATTTCATAAAAATTAGATTTTAGATTTTTGTATATACGACACACGTCGTAGACTTTTTGGTTCTAAGGCAAGCCGGTTTGATCTCGAGTTTTTCCTTCACCGCAAGTTAAATGCGCACTTAGATAGAAAGTCCATTAGTGCACAGCCGGGGATCAAACCTACGACCTCAGGGATCAGAGTCATGCGCTGGAGCCACTAGGCCAACTCTGCTAGTAAGTACACAATTACAGTTTACAAAAATAATATATGCATTTGGCATTTCGTCTGCGTAAAAATATATTTGTTTAAACCTATACCAGTTTGACAGTTACCATTAAATATGAAAAAATTCATTTCTAACAGAATAAAACCATACCATGTTCAATTTGATATGTTTACCTCACAAATATTTTACACTGAGCTAAAAAATCCTGACAAAATCTGGCTGGCTTTATGTTCTCCGTAATTTTCGTTACAAAATTTGTTTGTCGAATTCTTTTCATCCGTCAACATTTTATATAATAGACGCGTTGGCTCAACTAATGTTAACTGACAGCACCGGACACTAGTACTGGTAGAAGCCTCGCAAATTCTTTGCCGGTTTTTCAAACTGTATCTTTTCTTTTATGATGCAAATTTGTTCACTGTGCTGTAGCCAAATATATAAACAGTTAATATACATAATTTAAGGTCTATTCAGTGGTATTGAAATACTGTCATATATATATCATTAAAACTTCGTCATGTAACTTGTTCACTTGAAAGTTCTTTGAGGTTCTCAGAGCTAATGATAATATTGGTATTAAGTATCATGATATATTTAAGTTTTCAAGGACGATTTCTTCGGTATTTTCCAAAACACAATTCAAATTTCTGATGATATCAGATGAAATAAATATTTTACTTTCGAAGTTTCATAAATAATATCCTGACGAGTATTTGAAGTCAGTTTAATTATTATAAATTACTTTGATTTAATTTGCATTACACAAATTAGGTGCAATTGACAAAAATTATAGATTCAAACCGTTTTGCCTTGAGAGCCTTATGTATTCCACAATTTACCATAGCGTACATCATTTCAACGCTCCCAAAAAAATTTGTTACTGAATATTTTTACAAAGAGATGCTTTTATTTCATACCCCTATAATTTGCTTTGACGTCACTTCACGCCAGGACACACCCAGCACGACAATCAAATATCTCTATTAATTACAAGGCTTACGAAAAGTCAATACCAAATAGTTTGCACATGCACATGTTTTGCAACAAGATACGTGGGTAACACTGAAAATGCAGCCAAACCTAATGTAGTATATTGCATTCATTTGTCATTTGTTTTTGTGAATTGGCGGCAAATCTAAAACTCTTGTTACACGTGAAAATGAACCTAACGCGAGAACATTTTTCGGTCAATGATTTATTATAATTTTTGTTGTGGGCTTACTCAACAACAAAGCATAGACTGCGATTAGCATTTCTTAATGAAGCTGATCTCGTGCCACTATTTACAATTGGTTTAACGAGTTTAAGCGTGGACGTAGCAATCTAAATGATGATCCGCGTGAGGGACGTCCTTTAACAGCGACTACTTAAGATAACATCAGTGCTGTGCGACGCATGATAAAGGAAGATAAGAGAGTGACCTATTAGCAGATACGGGCAAACCTAGGCATTGGTATGAGTCAAGTTCAAAAAATATTACACGAATATTTAGGCGTCAGGAAGCTTTGTACTTCCCCACACTTTAACCGACGACCAGAAACACCTTCGCATGGACTGATGTCGCCAAATGTTAGATAAGGTCAACGGCGGTGACTCAAATGCTGTAATTGACATCGTAAAAGGTGATGAAATTTGGATATATTGCTACGAACTCGAAACCAAAAGACAATCGCTTTACGAGCCCTGAAGATGCTGTGAAAGCGTACGAAAATGCCATAGAAGAGACCCCTAAGGAAGAATGCCCAATACTTTTCTCAGTGGTTCCATCGAATGCGACGATGTGTACTCGTAGAGAGGATCGGAGATTACTTTGAAAAACAATAAAAGTATTGGCAACTTTCTATATTAAGCCGTTTTTCATTTTCTAAACATTTTCAGTGTTACTAGTGTATTCTAGACAAAGGTGGGTCTATATTAGACAATCGCAAATTTGATAACGCGTTTGTTTCGAATGATAAAACGAATGTTATCGCGTATCTGTGATGGGATTAAAGATGTTGTAGACCAATCACATTGAAATGGAACGTGCGTCGTGCAAAAGGCTTCTATATTTTAGGGTGCGTTCAACAAAAATGTTATGTCCATAAAAGAACAACAGTTTTGGCCTCGCACCACCACTATGTGGAACCACCTGCCCACTGAAGTATTTTCGAACCAATTCGACTTAGGGTCCTTCAAGAAAAGAGTGTACCAATTCTTAATAGGCCGGCAACGTACTTGCGAGCCTTCTGGCATTGTAAATCCACTTCTATCACTTAAAATCAGGTGAGTCTCCTCCACCTGTTATATTTATAATAAAGAAAGAATAATGTTTCAATCCATTCTATCTAATCAAGACTTATAGTCTGTGATAAAATAGTGAATAAAGGTACGATTCTTAACCCGAAACCATGCGACAGTCTACCAAAAATTATTTCTTTCTCTGCCTATCAATGACTGGCAATAAAAACAACGCGAGAAAACTAAGTCTAGCCAAACAACGACTGTCCTATGCTACATTAGGGTGGTAAATGAAAGAGACCGTAAATCTGTAAGACCAAGCTATTTTACTTCATAATTGTGGGTCATATTGAATCTTGTTTTGTGAAAATTGCGACTATTAGAATAACGAATGCGACTAATGAATAGTCAACATGGTTGACCTAAAAACTTTTATTCTTGGAAATATACAATAATTATTATAACACCTGGTAACTTGGGCGTTACATTGCAATATTGCGACTGTCAACCGTTATATCGGGCGTTCAATTCAAGGCCACAAATTTTCTTACTATGGGCACAATTAACACTTTCTTTCACGGTAATGGAATTGTGAGGAAACCAGAATGTTTCAACAACTGAAAAATCTCGTCAAATACAAACCCCATACCCAAGAATAAAGGAAGCCATCTAAAGCCAAGACCGGTAAAGAGTTGTAGCGCCACTGGATAAATATTTATTATTTTTATACCTATAAAATAAATAAAAAATTATAACGATAAATACCGCGAAATATAATAGTCTTTTGGAAGTTCACTTCAACAAATATTGGTTTTTCATCGTTAATTTATCTGTTTATTGAAAGAAAATATTATGGAAATGAGAACAAAATTTATATCACATGCCTAATACATGTTGATAAGAAATTACCTATTCCAATTTAAAAAAAATATTATTCATGTAATGAAAGCTGAGGTCTATTTTGATTTTTAGCGCTGTTGTGTCACTTTGTTAATAAAGGTACTTTATAACTTCATTGTTTATGATTACGATTAGTGATCAACTAATGGAACGTTTTGTTTCAGGTTTACGCATTAGAATAGTCAACTTATTTTTCAAGATATTGGCATGTCTCCTGTACATATTTCGCGTGTGCGCTGATGGAGATCCCATTAATGCTACTTGGTAAGTAGATTACACAAGAAAACTGTATTTAATTGTGTTTGACAGGAAGTAATAAGGATAACCATATAAGGAAAATAATAATTACATTAACATAGGAGCAAGAGTTGGATACAACAAGGACATATCTTAGCAACTGCATATCTTAGCAAGAAAATAACCTAAAAATTACCAAAAAACATGCTATATCGAAATTTCTATAATAATTTCCTTCAAAACCCCAAAAATTTAAATTATAATGATATAAAATGAAAATAATAGTAAAAAATTGTGGACATATGTCAAAAATATATGCAACATAAACCCAACTAAATCCAAATCCAGGAAATCCTTCAAAAGTATCTCGATATTCTAAACGGTTATTTCAGTTCAGTGGGTACTAAATTGGCTTCCGTTTTATTGTCCAAGACAAATCAGACGGAACAAGTACTTTGCTATAAAGTTTCAATTACAGCTAAATCGAATGATTTATATTCCTTCCTTGTGACGAGCGAGAAATTATAAAAATTATCAGCACTCAAGCCTATTGCAGTGATGATAATATAAGTAACTGAGTGGTCATTTCCTTAAAAAACCTTCTTGCTGCACTAATTTCTTATATCAGCCTTGCGATTCTGTAACTCACTTTTCGAACTCACAAAGCGGTTTTCGCATCGGCGGTCGCTCTCAAATCAGTCGTGAAGCAGTCATTTTATGATTTGGCATTCTGATAAGCTTGTAGTTTATTGTTTATCAGAACGCACTTTGTTTTGAAAAGGTCAATATAAATTGAAAATATATCTTTTTAATTTATAAGCCAAACGTATTGGCGTCGATCTTTCTCCACTTGTCAAGTTCTTTACATACCTCCCTAACCTGCTCTTTTTCAAGAGCATTATGAATACGATTTTATTTTTCAAAAATGTATTTTTAATGTGAATCTAATCTAATCGGAAAACGTTATAGCTACGGCTGTATGCCGGGTAACAAGAGTGTGTTCGAGTACTCCGCTAAGCTGACAGAAGAGGAGTTCCAGGAACATCCTATCATCAACTGGGATGGTATCGTGTGGGTTAACCGCCCACTGTTCCTGTGGGTGCTGCAGGTCATCCTCGCGATGATATCGCTCTCCGAGGCTATTCTGTTAGCCTACCTCGGGTACAAGGTGAGCTTACGCAACATAACTTTGTAAACTTTAGAAACTAGAGAAGTTCCAAGTATTGTATGATAAACATCATAATCTTATTTTTAATACGTGGGATTTTTTCTATAATAGCTAATAATTGTTAACTAAATAAATAATTTTACGTTTAAAATTATAATCATAACTTCTGGAATTCCTACTGCCAGGGTGTAGTTCACCAATGAATGGTGTGGGTCTCTAGGGAAGAGTTTTGGCCTTCAATTAATAGTAATAGTTTAGGGAAACCCCACCAGGTTGGCTGAGAATCGGACAAAGTTTATTGTAGTTTAAATTGGTATCTCACTACTAATTATATACTAAATGAGTGTTAACTGGATAAAATTCTATTGATACACAGCCATCTGAACATTTATTAAACGCCTAGTCCACGCATTTCATATATTTAAAAAATAAATACAATGATAAGCGATTTATTTCACCATTCCTTGAACTTTGCTTCATTTGAATGCATAAGATGCAATGTCGTAGATATCATACCTAATGCAGAGTAACTATATTAATCTCAAAGCTCTACTGATATTGTATCCAATTGGCTATAAATAGAATTTACATATATATGTAAATACATTTAACTCAAATCAATAAAGCGATAATTAATTAAGTTAATTAATATGTAAAAGCAAAGTTCAGATCCTAGCTGTGACTAATACATTTATCAATGAGCGCATATCCACTAACTTTTATTTAATCTTCGCAAAGGAAACTGCATTCAGACGAAAATATCGCGTGAAAATATCCTCCTGGCTTTGCGAAAGACCAAACAACAGATATCTAAGACCAACAAAGATGTGTTGTTATCTGTTCCCTTATCGTTCATTTCTTGATAATCTTTCAAGACACAACCACACTTCGAAACCAATTTTTGAATCGATGTTTTTTCTCTTCGTATTTTTTATGCCTAGAAGTGCTTATCACATTATAACTTGTACTTTTTTCTGTATGTATCAGTGTGCCGCGTTGACAAAATTTTGCAAATAAAGTTAAATAGTTTTCCAAACATATGTTTGGAAAAGTATATACTCGAAATTGAATAAAACTTGCTCAACGGACGACTTTATTACTTGATTTTCACAACTCAAAGTTTTCAGTGCTTTTCTAAAACGTGGCCAGCGAGAGACAGCCACATCTCAAGAGCACAGATGTCTGTAACTCCCAATAGCGATTGCATCTTCAATATTAAATTTTTGTTCCGCGCGATCGAATCAGCGCTACGGATATTGAAAGAATTACAGCGCATTCAAAAAAATATTAGATTCAGTACCGCTATTGGAAGACATAATATTGTTTAACACATATAAACAATTAAATGAACAGGTGTATAATTTTTTAACAGTAATATTCAGTATTTACCATTTTTTTAACCTACATAGTAATAATAAAAATAGAAAATTCAAACAAATTTTAAAAGTTTGGTCCCTGAGGCAGTGTACCTATTACGCTGGCATTATTACCTCGCTGTAGTGTGATACTTATTCGTGGAGCGAGGAAAGTACCAGCTCTGGGGTCACCGGTACTATCTACCAGTCACCAACTTAAATCTTTCATTAGCGCCTACGCCCTTGAACCCCACGGCCCAAAAGGCTCTACACCGAAGGGAATAGTATAAGATCCCGATATACAACGACCTTCACCGAGATGCTTATTTAATGAAACGTATTTTATATTTAATTTAATATGTCAATAAATATAATCCATATGGGTTGCCTAGCAAATTTCAGTCCAGGGTATGTTTAATTAATATTTAAAAAAAAATATTTTTTTATAATTTGCATGTAGTAATTTTTTGAAATTTTTTTCAATCAATATTTTTAATCAGGGTAGTATTATATATGTATCACTATAACTTTCTTTTTTACGACAGATGTATATATATACTTTAGTGTCACATAAAAAATATACACATAAATAATTGATTGATTAAAAACAACCTAACGTTTGCATATTCTATAGGCTTCATACTTTCGATTGGTATAGAATTTATCTAATAATCATACCGGTGAAATGTTTAAAAAAATATTTTTTTAAAAATATTAATTAAAATACTCTGGACTGAAATTTGCTAGGCAACCCATATGGATTATATTTATTGACATATTAAATTAAATATAAAATACGTTTCATTAAATAAGCATCTCGGTGAAGGTCGTTGTATATCGGGATCTTAGACCAGAACAAAATCGAAGTTGGAGGAAAGACTCTTATATTTTCTGCTCGTCCGTGGGAGGTGAGACGGGGCTAACGTGTCCACACGAGTAGCATCCCATACCAAAGCCCGTCCCATCTTCCAAGGGATCAACAATATCACATCCGGTCGCTTGCCATCGTCTCTTGCGAACTATTAAATTTTTGTTTTTTTTTCAGGGCAACATTTGGCAACAGATTCTATCCTTCCATTTCATACTGGAGATGGTGAACACGGTCCCATTTGCCCTGACGGTACGCAATTAAATTGTGTGTTTTTCTATTATAAAAATTCACAATTTAACACGTGTATTGTATACTTACAGATCCTCTATCCTCCTTTGAGAAATCTGTTCATACCAGTTTTTCTGAACTGCTGGCTAGCCAAACGATCCCTTGAGAATATGTTTGTAAGTATTTGATAATAAATTAAAAATATCCAAAATATCAGCTGTGTCTCTTAACGATTATATATTAGATTCAAATGTGGTTGACCTCTTAACTAACATGTTTTGAAACTTATTTATTTAGAAGTCAGAGAATACGATGAGGATAGCATAAAATTGATTATTTAATATCGCGTCAGACATAAGAGAACACCAGTACCTCCAAATATGTAGCTTTTGCTAAGGACTGCTGTTTTTACAATTTTACGTTAACATATATAAATCAAACAGTTGTATAAAATTCCAATAAAATTTAAATCAAATTTTACTTTCAGAATGACCTGCACCGAGCTATGCAGAAGTCACAATCAGCCCTGTCGCAGCAACTGATGATTCTATGCGTTACTCTTCTATGTCTCGTCTTTACCAGGTTAGTTCAAATATGGAAATATATGGACTGAAACGAATGTCATAGTAGGAAGGCTTTTTGCTACGTAGGTCTACAAAATCAAAAAGATATCGGGCAACAACTAATTTCGGGAGGCCCAATCAATGGAAAACTGGTCCTTATTGGGTGAGGTCTACACGTCGAAAGGGGGTTCTCAATTAATATAAAAAAAACAAGGGTAGCCTTACGCAAGATGGTATAGCAAAATAAAAAAGATAGCGGGCAACAACTGGTTTTGGAGGCCTAATCAAGGGAAAATTGGTCCTTATTGGAGGCCTTCACCTTGGGTTCTCATAGTGACATAAAATAAAATATTGTTGTACTAACAAGTTGTTTCCTGAGATTTTTACTTATTTATGGACTTAAATTCATTTTTTTTATTCCTTAAAATTATGTTCGTTCTTACATACATACATATTAATTTTTAACCAGTTTCTACGTGAACAATACATATTATTTCCTAAAATAAAGCAATTACAGTTCTCCTTTTGCTATCCTATCATTACCTTGTCGACTTTTGACCTAATATTTTTCAAAATTATCCCAAATCTGGTCTCACGAACCACAATCCACATCGTCAGGTAACATTATCATTTAAGGCATCATATTAATCTAACGTAAGGCGGGATCGTAAAATAAAGGATTCTCATGTAGATTCTAGGTCACCAAACTTTCAAATACTTTATTACGTGTCGTAAACTGCACTTACAGTTGACAGGCATCTGGGATCGCAATACACCGCATTTTTCAGCCAACTAGTGTGACGATAATTTACATAAGTATTTTGGGCACGCATCCCACAACTGCTTGCACTTTTGTAAATGTATGAATGTACGTATATAGTTAAAAAATAGTTTTTCTGAACTTGTAAATTTTCGCTTCGAAATATCCGGATTCATACCCTTATACGTTTTACTAGAATAATATATTTAATTATACGATGTCTGAAGCCTGTGTCATTCATGCTTTCATGTTATCAAACTCAAATTACGTGTAGAATAAATAAACCGATAGTGAATTGACGTTAATCCAATTAATGCAACGAATTAAAGGCTTTTATTCGCTAACAGATTTCAAGGATTTAACACTGACTGCGTCATAAAATATGTATGAAAGGGGAATCATACGTACATTGTGAGAACTAAGCGCTTGTGAAACAGACGGATAGTTTTATCTAATTGGGGAGCAATAGTGTTTCTAAAGGAGCATTTATATTTTAGGAATATTCAAAACCATGAATGGTATAATACTTGTGAAATGATTTCAGTTTAGGACATATAAAGACCGGAAGCGGAAGCTACTAGTAGGTGCTACGTAATATTGGCAGTGTTACCTTTAGATAGGCATAGGCAAGAAAACGGAATTGAAGCTGAAAAAAAACTGGTGTCGCTGCAAATGTTTCATGGTCATTTGTTTTTTCAGTTCAATATGATCACTGATCAGCCTTCTGTCTCTGACATACAACGTTGATTTGGGTCTTTGATCGTTTTCCTTACGATGTCACTACACAAGCAAATATTAATTGTACACCCGACGAACGCATGAAAACATTTTTTAACATTTGTGATTAAATTTTTGCTAACAAATGTTTACTAAAGTTACATAGTAAACATTCTCTAACGGCAATGTGGGAGCATCATTATGGAACCAGCTGCCCACTGAAGTATTTCCGATCCAATTCGACTTAGGGTGTACCGGTTCTTAAAAGGCCGGCAACATACTTGCGAGCTTTCTGGCAATGTGTGTCCATGGGCGGCGGTCTCACTTAACATCAGGTGAGCCTCTTGCCCGTTTGCCCCCTTTTATATAATAAAAATGCGATTTGACGGAATTTTTTCAAAGTGGCAAAATTTAAAATACGAATTGAAATAACAAAATAGACTTGCGGAAAACTTGCATCTTTCCTTCAACAATTAGTCATTTATTAAGGTATTCCCATTATTCAAGTAACGTGGTAATTTTGTTAAATATACAGTACATTCAACTGGGTAAACTCAAAATACTTTACATTACTACGTCATTGTTTCTATTGTCTACCAGTGAAACTCCAATTTTATTCTCACAACAAAAGAAATATTTGTTCTTATTACAAGACTATTGTGTAAAAATATATATGTAGATTTTTTATTGAGTAATTAAGTAGTCCAGAAGTACATGAAGAATAATAGTAATAACGCCACGATGCTTTACGGGTTTTGGGCTCGTATCGGATGTTTCTTTGTTTGTCTTTTTCTTGTGTTGCCTGACACACAGCATTTATATAGCATTCTCACATAACATAATCCATTCGTGGGGTTGCGTTTGAAGGCACAATATGAGGGTTGGTGCAGTCTGTGAAGTTAGCAGAGCACTTGCATAAAAAATTTAAGTACTGGATTTCAAATGTACTTTTTAAATTTTGTAATATGTTAGAAAAATGCTCATTCTTTAGTTTTATCACACCTTCCCTTATTGCTAAAAATATAATTATATTTTTTAATTAAACAGAACTATTTCATTTATGTGTGTTGTTTAATTGAGCGCTTATTTTTCGAAATCTAGAAGAAACGCTGTGCTAACATCAGGATGCTGTCAGAGCGTTTTACGCTTAGTAAAATCTAATTCTCTGGACTTAAGTGTGCAGACGTCATTCTAAAACCTATCAGGAATCACCTTAATTTACGCGTCGTAAATTCCAAAGTGCCCAAATCCGTAATATTTATCAGTTTGAGTCTCTCACTCTTACGCTAATAATTTTCAGTATAGGCCCAATACGTCTACTGCAAAAGCCATTTCGGTGAGTTTATGTATTCACTGAACGTAATGGGCTTTGAATTTTTAAAGACAATTACGGGACATTATTTGAACTCCACTCCGAGGAAGTCCGTAAGCAATTATTTGTGATTTATAGAAACTCTATAACTATCCTAAACTAGTTTTGACATAATAATGCTTAAACGTATCAATAAACAATTATGAAATGATTAGAGAACTTTTCAAAGATTGTTGAATTGTTATTTTATTTCTTGTTCATTTTTTTTGCATACTTTAACTACCAACCTTGCTATCTCTAAGTTTATCAATTTCATGACTTGGATTACGAGTTCTTACAAGGAGTCACAGAGTACTATTGTCGATACCCTACTCCATCTGGCGAAGAAGTTGCCATTTAAAACTCGTTTCGAAGAGTACAAAGTAATTTCCTTTAAATTCATTATCATTTGACTATGATTATATTACTAGATAAAATATTTTTTAAGTGAAAAATAATTAACAATATCGACATGTCAACTGTCATTGACAAAACTGCTTGAGGTTCGGTTTCCCTTTACTTTAAATGACTTATTCCGGGAGATACGACTATTGGTGTGTTCCACTAAGCGCTCACGACGATCACGCTCACGACCGCTGATTTCCCCATTCCACTTGATTGTGAATGTTACTGTCGTTAACTCAAGTGGAATGGATTATGGAGCGTTTCGGGCGTTCATGTAAATATTACAAATGTCAAGTTTGAAAATAGTAGAATTTTAAGGAGGTTAGGTAATCATAAACAATAAGTTTTGATATTTGTGACTTAAATTTATTTATGTTAAAAGTGAAGAATAATTGAAAATTTTATAAATAATTTTGGTAAAGTTATTAAACAACTTAAGTTTAAATATAATCGAAATGGCTTTACAATTTCTCCTTCTGAATCAAATAATGTGATTTTTCTTGTCGCCATCTTTAAGCTTTGAATATAATAATATTATTATTTGTCATATTTCAAAAAAAAATTCAAAAATTGCGCCAAATTATTCTCGCTCACAACGACCCATCTAAAGAGGTGGGTCGTTGTGAGCGTTGCGTGAGCATTAGTCATGACGTCATGAGTGACGTTTTCGCCGTGACCACAACGACCGCGGTCGGTATGTGGAATGGCTAAAGAAGCATTTTGATCATCGTGAGCGCTTAGTGGAACGCACCATATAACTATACAGATACTCCATGTTTTTCAATAGCAATGTCCAAACGTATATAGGATATACTACAAAGTATATTGATTTTTATAAATAACAAAACTAATATATAAATGTTTTACAGTGTTTGTGGAATCCAGCATTTCCAACGTGCGGGACACCGGCATCTAAACTTGTTCCAGGCAACGTACTTTGTCGTGGTTACCTTCTCAACGGTCGGTTATGGTGATTTCGTACCTGATATCTGGCCCTCCCAGCTGTTCATGGTCATCATGATCGGAGTGGCTCTGGTAGTGCTGCCTACGCAGGTAAATTATTACTGTACGAGCCAAGGCTGTACATTTTGCTCACTCAGGCTTCCTTAGTTTTATAATCGTGATTATTCCCTATGTACGTGCCAAGGCTCGTACATTCCGATCATCTACAAGCATAACTATTTCCTATGTATGTACGTGCCCTGGCTGTACAGTTTGATCACTTATAAGCATGACGATTTCCTAAATCGTCGGAGTCACGCCCCAAGAGTATAGCCCGACGCAGGCACTCTTTTCGACTGTTACAGCAGTCATTCGTATCATTACAATTAACTGTATCATGGGAGTTTCACCCCGGGAGCATAGCCAGACGTCGGCACTCCCTCCGTTTGTTAGATTGCACTCATTATATAGCAATTAACATAATTATTATTTCGCTCATATTCTATTGTATAACGCGAGTGATAAATATAGAGTAAGTTAAAATTATTCTATTATTTCGAACCCCAGATCATCCAGGAACCGTACAATTACTATTTACGTTTGTAAAATAATTAGTAATAATAATATGTAGTAGTAGTAATCAGTACGGCTAGAATCTCTACACTAGAATTCTACAGGTGTAGCATTACCTTCCTGAATCAGATGAGCTGCAAGAAACTGAGCACATAAAAAAACAATTATGTGCGCCAAATCGGGATTTGATTCTCGACCTTGCGGTTAAAAAGCGCAAGTTAACATGGTTGGAAATAGAATCGTTTTAATAAATAAAGAAAGAAAAAATAATATAAATGGAATAGAAGCATAATTTTCAGTTCGAGCAACTCGCGTTTACCTGGATGGAGCGGCAGAAGTTAGGAGGATCTTATAGTTCTCATCGTGCTCAGTCAGAGCGTCATGTGGTCGTCTGCTCCACCACGCTGCACGCAGACACTATCATGGACTTCCTCAATGAGTTCTATGCGCATCCTTTGCTGCAGGACTACTACGTTGTTCTACTCTCACCTATGGAACTTGATACTACAATGAGGATGATTCTACAGGTACATTTTGAGTTTAAGCTTTAAAGGTTTAATTTAAAAGAACTTGTTCGCTGACAACATGCACACATAACATAGTGATAATGTAATAATTAATTACAATGCGCATAAAGAACAGACTCATCTTCTACACTTGTGTCTAGAGTTAGTAACTGGTAAGGATCCTACCTCGCCGGTTCGAAGGAAGAGCAGAACCTTCGTGCCTCCAGAAGTAACTCAAATCGCTTATTAATTTGATCTTTAGATCGTGGATGCAGCGTCGTAAATATAAAACTAATCACAACTTAACTAAGCCAAGAACAAACCAAAGAAATATTGAAACTATTATTACATAAATGACGAGTTTATAAACTAATTATAATATTAAATAAGTAAAATATTTAGTACTAAATGTATGCGAGTCAAAGGCTATTTTGATGTCACAGGTTCCGATTTGGGCTCAGCGTGTTATCTACATCCAGGGTTCTTGCCTCAAGGACAGTGACTTAATACGTGCGCGTATGAACGAAGCCGAAGCTTGCTTCATTCTAGCTGCGAGAAATTATGCTGATAAAACTGCTGCAGATGAGCATACAATTCTCAGGTAAAAACAATGTAAATTAAAATTTTCTCCACTTTCTTCCACTAATAATTTTCTACTTCAGAGGCCGTTTCATATTTACCTAAAATCAATCTTAAACAATATCTTCTCAACCAGTCCTATGCTGAAACGGAAAACATTCTTACTGTGCAACAATTGTTTAATTATAAAAAGTTATTTAGAATTTATTATGTCAAGTACCGTAAACGTGTCAAATGGAAGAGAATAGCAGCTGCAGGGAATCCTTATGTGGGGGCTAGTGCACTTTCTTTTTAACTAAATATCATTCTTTATTATGTACAGTGTTTAATTTTATTTTCTTTTCAATTAAAACGCAGTATTGGTTATTAAAATAAATCGGCATTATGGCCCTTTTAACTAAAGTACCTACTCATTTCGTTATTGACGCAAGAATTTTTAGTAAAAACGTAATGTTAAATTAATTTAATTGTATACATACCATCAAAACATAATATGTGCAGTGAAATTTAACACTCGCTCGTAGAGTGATGGAATATCGTGAGGAAACCGACCCTCGGATTTAGACCCAAATAGTCGGCGGTGTGTTTGGCACAGAATCAGAGGCTGATCACCTATTTGCCTGTTAGAAAAATAAATGATCGCGAAACAGATACAGAAATCCGAGGCCCAGACCTCAAATGGTTGTAGTGCCAATGTTTTCTTTCTTTTATTTTTACTAACAGCACATTAATAACAACGAAATAAATTTAACTGTCTCTTCGTACGAGAATTTTAAAATAAAAACATAATATGTATATTTAGATCGTGGGCGGTAAAAGATTTCGCTCCTGATGTGGCGCAATACGTACAAATATTCCGGCCAGAGAACAAGTTACATGTGAAGTTCGCTGAATTCGTTGTCTGCGAAGATGAATTCAAATACGCACTTTTGGCAAACAATTGCACTTGTCCTGGTGCTTCCACTCTTGTTACGCTTCTGCTGCATACTAGTCGCGGACAGTAAGTATTTACACTTATCCAGTGTTTAATATTACACTTAACCATATTAGTTAGTTTGTTCATCTTTCTTTGACCGCAATTATTTAAACGTCTTATGTAGATTAAAAATAATCTTAATTGTATTCAAGCATTAGGTCGGGTTCGGGAAGAGATCGCTTGAAGTGACAAGGCCGCCCGTTGCAGCGACCGTTCAAATTAACTATTGTATATTTTTCTTGTGTGCCATTAAGAGTTTATAATACATTTCTAAAGCATGCTTGTTACTGCAGTTATAAATTAGAATTAAACATTTAGATTATTATAAAAATACCGTAATAAAAATTAGTAAAAGAATCTCGAAACATCAACAAAAAAAATGTTATACCTTTAGAAATCAAAAAATCTCTATCTCTACCTTATTCAAGTTAATTTAACGCTTAACATTGTAAAAAATATATTAATTGACTAATTTTATTTCAGGGAAGGTCAACAATCCCCTGAAGAGTGGCATCGCCTATACGGAAAATGTTCCGGAAATGAAATTTACCATATCGTTCTTGGAGACAGTCGTTTCTTCGGTGAATATGAAGGAAAAAGTTTTACTTACGCTAGTTTCCACTCACACCGCAAGTACTTACATTTTGTGATTATTACTTCTTAAGAAGCATTATATCAGATATTACAAGCCTTGTTTCTTTAAGGTACGGGGTGGCTTTGGTAGGAGTTCGTCCAGCCGAATTACCAGAATTCTATGAAGAAACAATACTTTTGAACCCGGGACCGAGACACATAATGAAAGCGAGCGACACGTGCTATTACATGAGCATAACAAAAGAAGAGAATTCCGCTTTCGTAGTTTCCGATCAACAAACCGAAAGCAAACCGTTGATAACAAAAGATCAAACTGCATGTAGCCTCCTCTCTAGCGAAGGAAGAAGAAAGGGCGGAGACGGCGAGGAGGCCGCGGCCCAGCCCAGAACAGCAGACGGTAGTAACATGGCTCAATCAGCCCTTCCACAAGTGGTTCTACAAGCTCCCGCGACCTCCCCACCAAATGCATCGCCATCACGCATCAATACTGTATCATCCGCTAATTTAACTGTTGCTAGCTGTGAGTGCCACGGTCGGATACTGTGCAAGTAGGCCGGATACGGATGCCGGAATGCAATACGGCTGGCATTCGACCTACTTACTAGACTTTATTTTACTCAGGTTGCTCGATGTCATCAAAATTGCGGCTACTGCGCACTAGCAACTAATAAAAACATAATTGGCACAGCAGACAAAGAGCAGCTCACTCACCGTATATGTTGCAAATTGCGGATGCAAGGAATTAATACCAAGTTACCAGACCGGCTCAGTGATGCTAACATCTACAGAATGTTCCTAGAACCAACTTCAAATAACCCTAAATGTTGATTAAAACCCTTCAAAATTTTAATTGTACACTCGGTTTGAGAGGTAATGTCAAATATGCAAAAAAAAACCATTCAAGTATATAACATTTCGATTTTGAAGTATAGCTTTTTGATATTTTTATGGTGGGAGGTTATTTTTAGTTTAGTATCTTGGTTTGGTTCTAGGCATAATATAAATTGTAACAATCGTATTTTAAGAAAAAAAGAAATCTTGTATAAATTGCCCTCTAAATAAATATACCTCCCGAAAACCCCTCAAGACATTTTGATTCCCACAAAATTTGGGAAAGAAACCCCTGAGTTGGCATCACTGGATATGCTACAGTACCTAAGCAGTCTGTGGTAGTTCGTTTTGTCCGCAATGCTATTGATGTTTGCACTAAAATTTATAATTTAATAATTTTTAAAATTACTGAAGCTGGCTGGTAATATACCCGAGGAATGTACATCTTTCATTCTCATCGTGAAGTTTTGGAGTTCGTCCATTTGTCGTATTAATTGAGATGCATGCCATTTAGAGGTTTTAATGGCTTCCCTAGGATATGCGTAGAAAGTTTGACAAAATTAAAACGTAAATTTTAAACCAGTATATATCCTATTTTAATAAAGTAATGACCTATATTCGCTTTCATCCTGAAGTAAATTATATCGCAGCACTAATATATAACCCCTTGGTTAATGATTCAATTTAATACGTTTGAACGTTAATTGTAATGAATTTTTCTCATTGGCATGTTCTGCTATATATTTTTTTGAACGTGCTACAGTTTTCATTAATCGGCTGCGTTCGTGCGGCTTCTCACGTTTAATTTGCTGTCGCGATCAGAAAATATTTTTATATCACGTAACCATTGCCAGGACAGTCCCATTATTCAAGATGAAACTTTATGACCTAGCCCCTCATGATAGTTGCTTATTATAAACGGGTTGAACTTCGGTACCGTACAGCCGCATAGCAAACAATACCATACAGATTTTGTTTTAAGTTTCTGTAAATTTGTCTTTACTAGTTAAATCATATGGCTATTTATCATTACCGTGTTTGTATCAGATAAAGTGGACGGGTCGGACCACAGGGTGGGTCTCAAAGATTCACCAGCCACAGATAGCGCCACGGACAGTCATTTGCTTCTACCAAGAACAGATAATCATTATTTAAGTCCGGACACTCTTCATCATCGGCGAGGTACGTTCGTGGCTATTGGCAAATATTATTAATGACGCCAGTTATCATGATAAATTATTTTATTTGTATTGTGTGCCTTTGATAGCATTCATACCCACTCCTTCTTTTCGTAGTTCAATAACGACTGAAGATCCCATTTTAATAAACCAAATTGACATTGGAATATGCGTGAATAGTTTTTATCGTGTTTATATCTTGATAATGGCCATGGCCGTACTACAACTGAGCGTTTCTTAAGGCGGTTATGCCGCGCACCACCACCGCGAACCAGCTGCCCACTGAAGTATTTCTGAACCAATTCGACTTAGGGTCCTGCAAGAAAAGAGCGTACCAATTCTTGAAACACCGGCATCGCACTTGCAAGCCGTCTGGCAATGTGAGTGTCCATGGGCGGCAGTATCACTCAATATCAGATGGGCCTCCTGCCCGTTTGCCTCCTATTACATAAAAAAGATTTAAAAAAAAAATCAGTTAGTGATATTTACAAGTTTAGTCAATATTTTAGGTAGTCGGCGACCATCGATTCTACCAGTACCGGACATGGTGACCAGTAGCTTTAACGTCGCAGAAGAAGAACGGGAGAGGGAGAGGGAACTAGACATGAGCGAGGAAGAGTTAGAGGATAATGTACCCTGGCGTACCCCTTCAGAGAAGATTGCGTAAGTGCAACCAGGCAATTGCTCTTCCGCCTTCCACCACTATGCCACCCGCAAGCATGCAATATCCTCTTTATTCTATTTTTCTTCTCTATTTTCGTGTAACGTCGTTTTACTATAGAAAAAACAATTGAATTTTTTTTAACTTAAAGACTAAAAATAACTATTGAGTTGGCATTGACTGTCGGCACTGATTTCGGCATTGATCAGTCTAATAGCACATTTGTTGGATTATTTAATTGTCTATTCTCTACGCGTTACGCTTTAACAAATCGAATAATACAGCAATGGTAAAAATGCCTAAACTTGGCAATGCTAACCAATAGAGGTACCCAATTTCTGATATTTATAAAAATATCTAACATACTTTACCTCATATAGAGTTTATATTCAACATTTACTTGAGATTATCGGAAATTGGGTTCTAATAAATACTACTTTTTGATAACTCTCTGTCTAGCAAGCACATTCACTATAATAATACAGTTTGCATTTGGATGGACGCATTTATTATTTATTTATTAAATTAAATTATGTTCTTAAATTAAGCTTTGCATAAAATTAAACATAAATATTAACGAATGATATCATTTACAAACTTTTTTCATAAATATCAAATCTTCGTCAATAAGCATGCATATCGTTAAATTACAATGATTTAATATGACGATATTGTTTTTAAACCTACAAAATGCCACTGCCTGCGCAGTGAATGTACATATTAGATATACAATAGGATATAGTGCGCAACGTGTGTCAGTCCGCAAGTGTGTAGCAGCCCCAATAGTAATGCGTGCATTGTGTGTATACTGTGTACTGTAAGCCCTAAGCCCCACGTCTGTCCCAATGTCCCGGCGGCTGCAGTGACGACGCCACGTCATCCAGTCTCTCATCGCTGGCACTCGGCGACGCGGCACCCGCCTGGCGCAATGACTTTACCAGGTAAGAATGCCTGCCCTACGCCCCATCCTACCATCCCACCTTCTACGTCCACCTAAAAATGCCCGCTGGGATCGCTGATACGTAACTCCATCATTAGATTTTACTGTGATGCTGAGCATGCTTTAACAAATGTAAAGATGCACTTTAGTTAAAGATCACTTTTTAAAATAATTATTTCACCCTTTTGAGTATTTTTAAAACTAGCTTTGCTTTTTATTCATTTACTTTGCTGGCTTAAAACCTAACCTTTGGAGTAATCAGAACATAATGCTATAGGATAGTGAAGGGGTTCCCGCCAGTGTCACCGTTCATCGGGGTGAGCCCTACTCTCTGCTACCTGTTGAAAGAGAAGAAGCCATTATGTTGCTTGCAGCTAGCACAAGTGTGTGAACACTGCGCCTATCGTAACGCTAAGGAGTACCAGTGGCAGAACAAGACAATCATTCTAGCCGCTGACTACGCTTCAAATGGCATATACAACTTCATTATTCCCCTTCGAGCTCACTTCAGAACCAAAACATCACTGAATCCTATCATACTTCTCCTGGAACGAAGACCTGATATCGCGTTCCTCGATGCTATATCTTACTTCCCACTGGTCTACTGGATGATGGGATCTATTGACTCGTAAGTTCCTTATTCGATAGTAGAGTTTTCACGGATTAACCATTTATTTTTTATTATTGTTTTTTTATTGGACAATTCACACTAATTGACCTAGTCCCATGCTAAGCTGGTGAAGCTTGTGTTATGGGTACTAGGCAACGGATATTCATGCATATTATAGATAGATAGACATATATATACATATTTAAACACCCAAGACCTAAGCACAACACCAAATGCTCATCACATCGATGTTTGTCTCAGCCGGGGATCGAACCCGGGACCCATGGATTCGCAGTCAGGGGTACTAACCACTAGACCAATGAGCCGTCAATGACCTTTACTTTACATTACATGATTAAATAAGTTCGTCTTATGCAGGCTGGATGACCTACTGAGAGCTGGAATAACACTTGCAGAAAACGTAGTGGTTGTAAACAAAGAATTATCCAACTCGGCGGAGGAAGACAGTTTGTCTGACTGCAATACCATCGTCGCCGTGCAGACCATGTTCAAGTAAAATCATGATCTGGAATATTAAGTAATAATTGTCAAGAATTTTCCTTTGCCACGGTTAAATCTAATATAATATTCTTGCAGATTTTTCCCATCGATAAGATCAATAACAGAACTGTCGCAGTCATCAAATATGCGTTTTATGCAATTCCGAGCTCATGATAAATATGCCTTGCATCTTTCTAAGATGGAAAAGGTAATATCAAGAATCTCTTTTAACATATTGTAATGTTTTTATGTAACAGTAAAGTACTTATAAACTAGTCAATCTAAATTAAGACACCGTTACTAGCGCCACAGAGAACATTATATACTTTTTAATTGACTAATGAGTTTTTACTGATTATTATAAATAAGTAGATTGTATCACAAAATATATAGGTATTTAATTCCTTTCAGAGAGAGAAAGAGCGAGGTTCTCATATCTCGTATATGTTCCGTCTTCCCTTTGCGGCGGGTTCCGTATTTTCAGCATCCATGTTGGACACACTACTCTACCAGGCCTTCGTCAAAGATTACGTCATCACCTTCGTGCGACTGCTGCTGGGGGTCGACCAGGCTCCCGGCTCAGGCTTCCTAACATCTGTAAGCTTTCACGCTAGCGATACGCGACTGCATTTTCATTTACACCACCATTTCATTCATCCCCATTATGCTACGCGATATTTTTGCGAATGCTCTGACATATTTTAATAAACGATCCTTAATATATTGTAATCTTTTAAATTGTCAGATGAGAATAGGAAAGGAAGACATGTGGATTCGCACGTATGGCCGACTATACCAAAAGTTGTGCTCGACTTCTTGCGAAATCCCTATTGGGATCTATAGAACGCAGGATACAAGCCTGGCCGACCCCTCACACCACGTGAGTATGTCGCCACGCGGCTCGCCAAGTTGGTTGTGGTCACGACTGACGGGAATGCGACCATCGCGGCCATCGGTGAGTCGGTTATTTACTGGAATCTCCTCAAATACAGTCCGTTTCCTATCCGCTATCTACCGTTCATTTCTGATCTCTTTTTATCTTCCTCTCCTTGGACTGTATTTCAGGCTTTATAAATCTTTTTTATCTTTTCCTCGAAACATAGGCACACACGTCAACTTTTGTACAACCAATCTTACACTTGTGGCGTTCTTATAATTAGTTTAGTATTGATTCAAATTTACCTTTTTCACGATATCTAACTTATTTTGTGTAATCCACGTGCTTAATCTTTATACCTGTATTTACATATATCATTGCAAACTGCTAGCAAGCAAGCGGATTGACTACTTTTGCTTTTGCGTTTATCACTGAAATAACTTATTGGGATATACTCTGGGAAGCGTCACGTCATGATCGTGTGGTCAGCGTCGCGCGCGTCTTGTTCGCGTTATCAGACCGATTGTCGCAGTCCCGCTCCTTCGCATGCACCTAGCGTAGATGTTCTCTAAACCTAGCTTTCATAACGTTCTCTACTTACGATAACATGTGTAATCTTGTAGCGAATAATACATTTACATCTTTATTCTCTGTATGATTATACTTCAACTGTACATTGTTTGGACATTATGAATATATTAAACAAAACGTTTAAACTCATAAAATACCGAGAACAGTGTTTGCATGTTTCACAGACTCAAAGCGAACTTAGATGGAGCATTAAAACATAAATAGTTGCTGAAATAGATAATGAATTGGAAAAATAAAATTTGTAGATGGGCCATAGATACAGCATGAGCATAACCGTCACTCTCATTTCCAACTAAAAATAATTTTGTAATTGAAATCTTATTATGCTTCCATGAATCACCATGTTATATCACAGTGTGAGTGTGTGTGTATGAGTTCCTGCTGAGAGCAGGTGTAGGTGTGTGTATATGGCAGAAGTGTGAACAGCTAGTTGCAGCAGGGCGGGCAGAGCGAGGCGCGGTCTGGGGATTCGAGGGGGGCGCGAGACACGAGTTCCAGCTCCCCCACGGGCTGCCTCACGGGCTGCTACGGCGACCGCACGCCGGTGGTAAGCTCCCCGCAACGGGACGCTCGAGCCGGCTAAGGGACTCCGCGCACGCTCACTTTTACACCCTGCCTCATAGCAGCCCCTTGGTCGGCTCCACGCATACCCTAAATATATCTCTTCAATTATAACTTCCATAGTCACTCGGAGTCGTATTGCAGGTACTAGATCATGTTATGTATAGAACTCACTGGTTCCAAAACGATCACTTTGCAGGCTTTAGATCCGCATAGTTTAGTGTTAGACTGTGTGTGTTTAACCCGCACACTTATGCCGAGGCCGCTCGGTGACTGGTGTAACTGCAAGCATGCCTAATTAGCAATATTTTTGCGTGATAATAAATCTTGATTTAGAAAGATGGCATACTTGCAGTGACTCCAGGTTGAACCTTTTTATTGTAAGAATTTAGAATTCACCTATAGAAGATATGCTATAGATTGAAAAGATATTCAAATATCATGGCACGTATGTGCTTGAAGCGTTCTACAACAATGTGTGTACTCAGAGACGAGTGAACACACTGTCGTAGATTTGCTTATAACTAACATGAATTGAACGTTAATATAAAATAGAAGAGTATTATTTCCCAGTATTCAGCGAGTCTAGCCGACGAAGCAAGAGACAACCACGCGCAACAGATAGAACGGGCTGAGATTGCAAATCTGGTTCGCTCCCGCATGGAGTCGCTCAACCTAAACGTCATTGACTATGACGACGTGAGTGAGAAGAGGAACAGTCTCTCCTACGTTATTATTAACCCAAGCTGCGACCTTAACCTGTGTGAGGGAGACGTCATGTAAGTATACAATATATGTACCTGTAATCGTATGACTTAAAGAGTAAAATAAAATTTAATCACGGATTCTTTGGTGCATTTCAGATATTTGGTTCGGCCATCTCCATTCGCAGCTCAAAAAACATTCGAAAGACACAATAGCAGACGAAAATCGAACATTAGTTTTTGTTCAAGTGTATGCGCAGCAGCAAGTGCTGGGAGCGGCCGACGTGGCTCTACATTTTCAGCTGTGCGGGCACCGCCACTCTGTACCACAAAAGCAAATTCACTGTCATTACCAGATAGTCCAACTGTCCTCACAGATTTTCGTGGTCGCTCAAACTCTCTGCGAGTTGTGGATGATGCAATGTTGTGCCGATCAGCATCGCTCCGTCAGGGGCTTGGCACAAGCCCACGGAGGAGAAAAAGCAGTCTCGAGGAAATCGGAATTACGCATTTTAATTCTCTGTTACAACATCAGCAGCAACAACAAGAGCAGGACGCTGAAGCGATTAAAATGGCTTTGCAAGGCAGTGCTGGACTGGAGGTGACACCACTGGATGACAGATGGCCGGAGTTGCGTCCGTCTTCGCCTGAGCCCCAACACCTGCAGGGAACCATCGTGTAATTTGGCCCCACTTTGGGTCCTCTAAGCAATTGTTAATGAATATTTATACAGTACTACAGCTCCAAAGAGTTTAGTGTCTGTCCCCTTCATAAACTTAATTCACCTAAAAGTTAATTTGTGAGGTTTGCACGGAGTCTTCAGTATGTCTTTTGAAATTCTTCAAAGTCCCAATTGGTTAAGTAATGATTGCAAAGTAAATGACATGTTTTAGAGTTGGGGCTGACGTATTGTGTAACTGGTTAGAGTAAACGGCTTAGCGTCGCGTTAGTAGCCTGAAGTAGCGCGAGCGGCAGTGTATGTTAGCGGGATCAACTAGGTAGTTAGTGATAAGGGGAACACGTCGGCGTAAGGCTGTACATATTCGCTTCATCCCCCCCTCCCCCTCACAGACCAGTTAACCCTTCACTACTCCCTCCATAACCTTATGGCCTTGTCTGTAAATATCTAATGTATTACGCAGCTGCAATGTTAGGAAGGTTATTTTCTTCTAAGTCTAACACAATATTTGTTTCGACGAAATAAAAAGTACGAGTATTAACATTCACTAAGTTATTCAAGTTTAGAGCAATTATGTCGTCAGTTTACTGCGACGGTTAACGCGAAATCGTTAAAGTTTTAACAATATATTCGTGTGTGTAGTGTCTGCACTTACTTTAAAATTGCCATTGAGTCTTGGCCGCTTCTAAAAAGGATTTGATGTTTTACTTCCGATAAGTACGCTTGCTATAATATGATACAAATATGGTGAAAACTTGATCCATCGATAATAAAAAATATAGCAGGGCTTCTCTGTAATACAATTAGCACTCTCCAACAAATATTTCAATAATCAGTCATCTAGCGACGGTACCCTATTTCTTGTACAATTTGTAGCGCTGTTGATGTTATAGGGTATGCAAGCAGTATCATCTTTAACAAAACTGTATTTTTTCTTATTCATTAATGATTACCACCAGTATAATAGTAACATTTCCCGATGTTATTGCTAAATTATATGATTGTGAGACCCCATTATTATTATGTTCTTATTAGACAAAAATCAACTTAATAAGATCCAAATCTAGACACACAAATCTGTTTCATATATACAAATGCGATACTTACTACAAATTATTATTAGTGTAATGTATGAACTGCGCTTATAGGGCTTTTATTTCCCAGCCACAATTCTATTCTATAAAAAGAAACACGAATTTGTAAGCAACACATTCAATAGAAAACGCAAATTGCGAAGTAATTAATAAACCTTGAAATATGTAATCTTACGTTTACGGCTTTAAATGTTGGTCATAGACCATAATATCAATGTTACATAGATTCCCTTAGTTCAGATTTTGTAGTATATATGTGGATATATAGATATACAAGTTAGCGGAGTTAGCCAGTCCTGTTCCACCATGGCCAAGACTTATTGGCCTTAGCGAAATTATAATTTACAATCAATGTAAAAAAGACATTCATAATGTATTATTAGTACATAGTGTAGAATATTTGAGATTATATCAATATATTTATCTTTATTCCACTATGTTTAACTATAACTTGGCGGTGAAGCCTTTCATTTAATGCGATTCTAATAAATTCAACACACAGTAATGTATTTTTATTTCCGAGTCACTGAGAGTGAAGCCCAAAGATTATTATTTATTTATGTATATATATATACAGATGAGGTGATCCGTCTTTTCTAAAACACAGACATTTTAGATATAAGAACTGGCGTAACAATAGGGAGGCAGGGCTGGCAAAATGCCACGGGCCCCCGACTCAAGAGGGACTCTGTCCAAGAGACATTATGTTCTATGGATGAATGTGAAGTCTCCAACACGCATTGGGCTAGCGTGGGGACTACACACAATTCTCACTCGCCTAAGAGAAGAGGCCTATGGCCATCAGTGGGACATATACAACGTGTAATTAAGTTCAAAATCTTGGAGTTTATTAAAATTAAACTAAGTAAAACCTGACGATTTTTCCCCATCAAAAGAATTTGCCATGGGCCCCAGATGGTATAGTTACGCCACTGGATAAGAAGATCTGGGCGACTTATACATATAAATTAAGAACGTCAGTAGTTGTAAAAACCGCTAATACTTGTGGTTTATTCGATTAGCTAATATAATTGATTTATAAATTAACGACTATTAATTCGATGGCAGTAGTGATTCCAAAGTTATTGTTAATTGTTATTATTGAAAGTGATTTATTATGTTGGAACAATAGCGTTACTGTCAGCTGCTATTGATATTTAGCCACATAGCTAATAAACTAACAACAATGAAGCTGTTAATAAAAATAAACGAAACGTTAAATGCATTATTTTTAATGAATCAAAGAGAATGCTTCGTCAATGATTTAACTTCTAGTCGTAGTAAATACTGATGACTTGATCAACCAAGAAATCAATTATACACAATAAAAGATAAGATGTCGTTATATACGGTCACTTTTGCTGCGTTTTTAATTATGGTAAGATTTTCTTTATTTTTTTTAATTCAATTCCAGTTTTAAAGGAAGTTTATTTCTTAGGTTTCATTGTTCTCTCGAAATATTTCAATGGAAGACTCTGGACACGTAAGTTTAATTACGCAAACATACGTTCATGTTTACAACCATGCATTAAATTAGTAGAAAATAGTGAAAAGATCTATCTATTGTTTGTCTCAACCTGACTGATTCCGGAAAGGTTCCGGCGTTATTTGAACCAGAATGCTAAGTAATAGCGTGTCGCATAATATGCGCTCTAACTCGGGGCAAAAGTCACCAAGCCCAGGCCCCCATCAACAACAGGCCATAGGCTATCGGTCAACTAAATAAATTATTGAATCTTGTTTTGACGGTTCTACTAACACCACGTATGAAGAAAAGTTAGAAAATAGACCATGAAATATATGTCAATCAATTCATAAAAAGCCGGCTACGCACTGGCGAGCCTTCTAACAATGTTAGTGTCCATGGGCGGCGGTATCACACAACATTAGGTGAGCCTCCTGCCCGTTTGACTCCTATTACCTAAAAGTGTGTGGTGGTAACCATTCCACAGATAAGTGTTGGATTAGTGGCTTAAGGTTGTGACACTCATGACAAAGTAAAAAATAAATATTAATAGTTGCATTTTACTTTTGTTGAAGATGAAGAAAAGCTGCGCAGCAAAGGTTTGTTTTATTTATATCATTAATCATTTTCATCATACATTCTCATACAGTGCCACTGTTTCTATTAGTTACTAGCAGAAATGTATGCTATGTTGATAATAAAGCCTTTTATTTCCAAAAATGTTACAGTTAAATAATTATAATACAAATTCTTAACTCTAGTTTTTAAGTATGGCAATGATACGGCATAGGCCTCTACCAACTCTTTCCAAAGTTCCCTTCCTTGCTCTCTCGTGCTCACTCCGCCGATTGTCTTTAGCTCTATGCTATATAGTAGCATTGAAATAAAATTTAAAATTTGATAATTTTAATGTTACGATTTCATTTAAAAAATTGCAGTGTAAAGGAAACGACTGCCGTTCTTATGTAAGTATTTTTAATATTAATATAATAAATAATATCTTTAAGTAAGTTCGGATTCGGCTTACGATTCTGGTTAATTGTCAAATAACCGTTCCATGTTCTTTGATATAGCATCAGAAATTATGATCTTACTATTATCGTTTTGTGATATTTCTAATTGTAAGTTAACATTGATTCCCGTAATTCAGTGTTGTGTAATTGGTCTATTTCAAGTCAGTTATAACAGATAATAGGAATGCTTATTAAAATTCCCATTTTAATATCCCTACTTTTTAGAAAAAAAATAATCAATCTAATTGCCTAGTTTTAACTAAAGTTTTTTTTCTTTAAAACGTAAAAATTAAGATAAAGAGACGAAAGTGTATTAAAGTTAAAAGAGTTCTTACACTGATTTAGTTTGAAGAAGAAATAAGTTAAAGCACACAGACAGAAAGGGTTTTTCAACGCAACACAAATAAGCAATCCTTTGACAACTGTTTAGAGAGAATCTTTCTCAAAATGATGATATTAAAATGTTATTTATAGTGTTACGGCAGCATGTCGACTGCAATGGTAAGTATACTAGTTGTAAAACACGCATTGCGATGCCATGCCTAGAAAGGTAACAGTAACAGGCAGGCAGACTACATCTACAATAAATTAAATAGGCTACTCAATATCTACCCGCTCACCGCCCAAAATTAAAAAAAAATCTGTTAAAGGACACTCCTTACTCAGAGTTGGGGATGATAATGAGACCTGACACGTAGTTACACATTCAACATTCACTCTCACATGCACCTACACACACTGACATGCACCCACGCACTCATTCATGGTAATCCTTTTTCTTTTCACTTAACAATGCTCTGTAGATACAATTGTACGATAGAAGTCGTGTCTCCGGTTTTATTAATCGGCCTAGAAGTATGAGCTTTATTTAGAATTAAACATTATTTATAAGGAATAAGCCTGTAAATCTTTTACTATTAGTCTTAACTTGATTGAACTTTCCGATTCAACTTAGGGTCCTTCAAGATATGATCGTACCAATTCTTAAAAGGCCGGCAACGCAGTCGCAAGCCCTCCGCCATTAAAGGAGTCCATGGGCGGCGGTATCACTTTATATTAGTGAGCCTCCTGCCCGTTTCCCCCTTGCCTTTAAAATAAATGATTGAGCAATGGACTAGGTGTTTATTAAAAACGGACACAGAAATATATCCGCTTCTGAAGCATTATTGTTGCGATGTCAAACATGCAAACCGCTAAAATGATCCATTAATTATGTCAAGACTACATTATGTTGCCTATATGAATAAATGATTTTGACTTTTGACTTTATATTAAATATATAATATAAATTTTTCAGTATATAATACTGTGTATAAATTTATGTTATTACAAACCAGATGCTGATTTCCTAGATATGGCCTTAAACTGAAATCTATGCAAGCACTATTGTACGCAATAAGCTGATTAGAAATGCTTGAAGCAATTGTATGA